AAGGACAAGTGCTCTAAGGGACAAAACTGCACCTTTTATCTCAAAGCAGCCTCACCTAGCAGAAAGACAAAAGTGCTAATGATCAAAGCACCAGTTGTTAGCTGTCCTGCACCAGGTAAAACACCTAGTACCTTCTTGAGGTCTGAGTTCACACCTCTGTAAATTAAATAGCCACACTCTAAGCCTAGAAGAACTGAGCTCAGGGAAGCAGAAACCAGGCTGTGAATGCACCTCACTCTTTTTCTCTCATCGCTGAATTAGAAATGATGTTCTATTGCCTCCTAATCATGTTTCTTGATGCTTTTAATTTATCTTGGAGCTGTTTTGTAAACACATGTTTTTTGTCAACAGCTTTTTTAGTTACTTTTTGCTGCTGTGATAAAATACCGTGCTTAAGGTAGCTTATCAAAGAGTTTATTTTGGCTTAGAGTGAGTCCAACATGGCAAGGAAGGTTTGCAGCAGGTACCTGGAGCAGGAAACCAAAAAATCCCATTTCCAACCATGTGCAGAAAGCAGACAGGGAAAAAAATAGAAGTGGGGTTATATATAGCCTCTCTAGGCCAGGCCCAGTGTCACGCTGTATACTCTCAAAGCCAGACCCAGTGTCATGCTATATACTTTCAAAGCCAGGCTCAGTGTCATGCTATATACTTTCAAAGCCAGGCTCAGTGTCATGCTATATACTTTCAAAGCCAGGCCCAGTGACATGCTATATACTCTCGAAGCCAGGCCCAGTGTCATGCTATTTACTCTCCAAGCTCCAAACCAGGCCCAGTAACATGCTGTATAGTCTTCAAGCCAGGCCCAGTAACATGCTATATACTCCCCAAGCCAGGCCCAGTGACATGTTATATACTCTCAAAGCCAAGCCCAGTGACTTACTTCCTTCAGCAAGGCTGCACCCCCTAAAAAGTTTCCATGACCCTCCCCAAACAGCATCACTAATTGAGGACCGAGTGTTCAAATACATGAGCCCATGGTGGACATTTCTCATTCAAATCATCACATTCCATTCCCTGACCCCCATAGGCTCCTGGCTATCTCATGATGCAAAATGCATTTAGTCCAACTTCAAAAGTTCCCATTGTCTTTAACATTCTCAACACTGTTCAGAAGTCTTTTCTGAGACTCAAGGACATCACTTAACTCTGACACTCTATAAAATAAAAAAACTTACATACTTCTAGCATATAATGGCACTAAATAATATTTCTGTTACAAAAGGGAGAAAGGGGGACACAGAAAATAGGAGACTGAAGCAAGACCAAAACTCCATCAGGGCAAACACCAGACCCTTTAGCTCCATGCCTGATGTCTAGAACTTTACTTTCAAAGGGCTTAGCTGGCACAACACCTCCAGCTTTGCTGCTTGCAACATGCATCTCTCCCTCTCTCTCGGGCTAATTCCACTCCCTGAATGCAGCTCACCTTGGCAGATGTCTCATGGCTCTGGCATCTCTGACATCTTGGGGTCTCTACCACAACTCATGTTTTACCTTTCATGCAATGGCCTGTTAGGGCCTCCTGCCGTCTCAAGGCCTTCACACAGGGACTCCCCTGCCACATTTTGCCTGGCCTCTGGTTCTCTGAAACATCAGAGGAAGAATCCACAATCCCTTAACTCTTGTGTCTTTTATGGCTCCAAAGCTAGTACCATGTGAATGGCACTGCCAAGTTTAGCTTCCAGCTTAGGATGGACCCTAGCCCCTTGGACCACATTAGCAGCAGCTTTTGGATATTGAAGTGATTGTTTTCTAAGAGCAAGCATACCCCCTTAGGCTTTTTCCTTTCACAAGTTGGAAGCTTAGATGAGTGGAGTGTTTCCCTGAGGATACCCTTCCCTTTGTTCCAGTGCACAGTAGGAGGCCTCTCCTTAATGGCACTGTTCTGCATAATGATTACAAACTCTTTTTTTTCCCAGTTCTCTTTTTCTCTCCAACCTGTACATTTTGTATTTCCTTTTCTGCCTCACTTGCTCTTTTTCATTGTGGATCAATATAACAGTTATCAGTAGTAACTATTCCATAGACCCAATGTTATTATGCTGTCTTGAAATTTCCCCCACCAAAGAAATTAGTCTACTACTTTTTAATTTAACCTCAGGCAAGTTTTTAGGACATGGACAGAAAATAGCCAGATTCTTTGCCAAAATATCATATAAATGGCATCTACCCAGTTGTTAAAGAGCCCTTGTTCTCCTCTGAAACCTCATGAGTCATGCCTCTACTTTCCACATTACTCTCAGTACTTCTGTTTTCTAGGCTCCTACTAGAAAGGCCTGTTAAGCTCTGCTTACAACATTCAACAGCCTTTTTAGTTTTTTCCACAGTCCTCAAAAAAAAAAAAAAAAAAAAAAAAAAAACCTGCTCAAATTCTTTACAGCACTACCCCATTCTTCTGGTACCAGCTTCTATATTATTTACTTTTTTGTTACTGTGATAAAATACCATGACCAAAATAATTTGTGAAAGAAAAGGTTTATTTTAGCTTATGGTTCCAGAGGGAGAGGCCATAATGGTGAGGAAGGCATATAGCCGGTAGCCAGAACAGGAACCTAAAAGATCACATTTCCATCCACACACAGAAAGCAGACAGATTGGATTCAAAGTAGGGCGAGGCTATATACTCTCAAAGCCTGGTCCCATTGGTGTATTTCCTCCATGAACACTGCACCTCCTAAAGGTTCCATAACCTCTCCAAACAGTGCCACCAACTGGAGAGTAATACATGAACCTATGGGGGATATTTTTCATTCAAACCACCACACAGGTCTCAGTCTCTAAGACAAGGAACAATTATTAAGCTTTCATTTCTGCCCTCTCCTTGCTGCCTTCCTAAAACTTTTCTCTTTGTTTGTGATAGGAGTGCTACCCTTGAATAATGCTGATAGATGTGGACAGGAAATGCTGTTAAAGGATTAAAGTTGCCTACATGAGGATGGTCACACACATGGTTTATATAAAAAATTGGTCCAAAAGTCATGTGATGGTCCTCATGACTCTGAACGAACGAGGTGATCTTGGTCATTTGCCCAAGATCACCATGCTGGCCATCATGTCCAAGTTTTTGGAAGTTAGAAAAAGGATTTATTACATTTATTTATTTATTTATTTTTGTGTGGTTTTGTACATGTGTGCCATGGCGTGGATGAGGAGGTCAGAAGATAATTTATGGGAGTTGGTTCTCTCCTTCCACCACGTAGGTCCCAGGGATAGAATACAGTTCTCAAGACTGGTAGCAAGCACTTCTTCCTGCTGAATCAACTCTTTGGTTCTAGAAGTAAAAAGGATTAAAGGGAAGGAAAATGAGTTTCCTGTCCTTTTAAAGATACAGCCATACACTGTTTAATGATAGAGATGTGTTCTCAGAGCCACCATGTTCAGCAGCTCATTGCTGCATTGCTTACACAAACTTAGTTGATTTAAACTGCTTCATACTTAGACTGTTTGGTCTAGCCTACTGATTGTAGGCTACTCACATATCCAGCATGATACCAGACTGAATATTATAGACAACTATAACACAGTGGTAAGTATGCATGTACCTAAACATATCTAAACATAGAAGAGGTACAACAAGAATATGGTTGAAAAAGATAAAAAGGCACTAAACATAAATGGAGTTTGCAGGACTAGACGTTGTTCTGGGTGAGCTAGTGAGTGAATGAATGCATGGGAAAGCCTAGGATATTAGTGTTACTTTAGAAACACTGCATACTTAAGTGACCCTTAGTTAAGAAAGTTTATAAAAGTGTTTCTCTGTCTTCAATAAGAAATTATTTCTTCAATAATAATGTGTGTGTGTGCATGTGTGTGTATGTGTGTTTGGGATCGAACCCAGGTTCCTTCTCTACCAGCCTAAGCTCTATCAGCCCTTACTATCACTCTTTTTACTTTAAAAATGATTGGTTTTATTATTGGGGTGGGAGCACACCTGGCACAGCACCAGTGAGTGTAGAGGCCAGAGGACAACTTTCAGGAGCCAGCTCCCTCCTTCCACCATGGGTTCCAGGGACTGAGCTCAAGTGGACAGCCTTGGCAACACATACGGTGGCCTGTCAAGCTAGCTCACTGGCCCCCTTTTAAAGCAGGCATAAACTCTTGTGATAACAATTTAAAACACATCTGTCTATCTGTACAAAAACACTTTCTTTATATGCTTATTCTCTAAGCTTTTTTCTGTTGGTCATTTACTTTAAACACTTATTTCTTAAGAATTAACATACAAGCATACACCTTCTCCTGGCCCCACATGGGGTTAGGCCCATCGGTATCACTATCTTCTACCTCTGCATCTTGCCCCATTGGACCGCCTCCGAGCACTAAAGCACATACAGCTATTCTCAATGACAAGGCCTTCTGAAATCCCTTCTGGAAGGAGGGGCCCTGAGGTTCTTCCTGGAGGAAGGCCTTTCTTCCTTCGTGCTTTTCAGAAATGTGTCCGTGCTAGTTTGCTTCTTTGTTGTTCTCTGTCAACGAGAACCTTTTGGAGTTAGGAGTCTATGTTTTCAAATGCATTCAGGAGCTGCTTGAAGTCTGTGAAAGCTTTGTCTAACCCCTTCACTGTTAATTTTCTCAGAGGTGGTTCTTCTTTTTCTTCTACAGTTTGCTTTACTTTGCTTTCTTCTGCCATGTGTTCCTTAGATGAGTGGAACTATTTAGTTCCATTACAATCTTATGGTCACTGTGGGACATCATTGCTGGCATATGACTGGATTTCTTAGAAGCTACATGAACTACTTCTGTTAGTGTTATAGCTGTGCCTCCCTGGGAGAAAGGTTGGAAATCTAGTGTCCAGTTTTAGTTTGTTGTCCAGTGAAAAAGTCTGTTACTGTCAATCCCTGCCCCAAACCCATCTAAGGCTGGCCCCTAGAAAGCTATAGCTTGGGGAGTCTGCAGCCATCCTTCTATAAGGGTCCTTAGCCATGTGCATAGGGGAACTTGAATCTCAAACCTGCACTTCTTTCCTGGCATCACTGAATGTTCCTTCTTCCTCCTAGGGAAAAAAGCCAAATGTGAATCCTCCCAATTCCAGTGTACAAATGGCCGCTGCATTACTCTGCTGTGGAAATGTGATGGAGATGAAGACTGTGTTGATGGCAGTGATGAAAAGAACTGTGGTAAGTAAAGACTTGGACAGGTCTCACTTGCCACCTCTTCTTACTTGGATTTATGTATTTTATCAAAATCTGCTGATGTTACTACAAATGTACTAAGATTCTGCAAATAAAATCCAGCCCAAAGAATTGCTTTGAATCAGTCCAAGAGGCCAAAATACTTGATTATTCTAAAGCATTAAGCAGAATGGAAGACATTCTCTTCCATCCAAAACGTAGATATGGCATCATTGATCGGACCCTATCGAAGATCACTGTGAGAAATGACTGTATCAAACCTATAACCTCATGTCATATATGCAGCTGAGAACTACATGTCAAGATCACATGGACCTGAAATGCATGCTGAAGCCTACTTTTGATCCCTTTGTTCTATATTATAAAAATCCTGAAGTAATGTTGTGTGTAAACATTAGTATGGTCATTTGCGTTTGGAAAGATGGTACATTGAGTGTTGGGTGTACCAGTGCATGCTACTTGTAATCCCAGCACTCAAGAACAGAAGCAGAAAGATCACAAGTTTGAGACCAGCTTGGTCTACATAGCAAGTTCCAGGCTGTCATGCTCTACAGGAGAACCTGTCTCAAAAGAAAAAAAGAAAAAAAACCATAAAGGATATTATAGCCACCTGTATATAATGACATGCAAGCTAGAAACAGAGAAGAAAATCAAAATTACCTGGGCTTTTTTGACTGCCATCTTTGTTATGCCTTTACTTGCTTCTTCACGCATTATCATTAAGATGTAAATGCCATGGCAGATGTTGTCCAGGTGTCTGTATCCAGGCAGCTGTATCCCAGGTATCTCCATACCAATGTGCTCCTCTGGAAGCTCCTCTGGAAGTACAAGTGTCTCCTGTAGAAAGCCCATTCCACAATTCTAGGGGAAAACTTATCTCCAGTCTCAGGTCCAAGAATAGTTTCCCGGTGCAACACTTTTCCATCATTTGCTTTTAATGCTAAGATTTTAGTCTGCTCCACAAAACATGGTGTTCTTGCTATTGCGAGGCTACCTAGAGAATATAGTTCTCTCAATACATATCTCACTAGGAGAACCTGACTTTTTTTTTTAATCTGTTCTCTGGATGTAAAGGCAATGCTATCTTTAAATCATGTACTGGACAAAAGTCATCACCTTGCCTATATTTATTCTCTCCCTGTGTTGGAAGTTTTCTATCACCTAACTCAGAAGAGACACCGGAATCATCAGGTGTGCTCGCTACGATGATAGCAACTATGATTTTATTTTCTTAAAATCCTTTCTTCATAAACTTGCTATACCAGCCATATGGTGGAAGGGTCTGGATGAGGGAAAGAGGTAGATGAACAGTACAGTGAATCAAGATCTCTTCAGGTGGGAAAAATTAAATACATGAATGGCAAGATTTGTTGCTGCCTCCCAGGTACGGAGGCAAACAAAGAAATAGAGGTACCACTCAAGAGTAGCCTTGATTGCTCATTTTGAAATGGAAAAGCTATACATTTGCTTAAAATGGCCCAACCCGCCTCTCAACCTTCTTGTCCAACCTTTGACATCCAATGTGATTATAATTTTCAGCAGGGCTCATTCTTTGAACTTGACAACTAGTGTAGTCAGCTTGAGTGTAGACCCATATGCCATGTGCTTCTATGGATCCCCTAAGTGTGTTGTTATTGATTTTCCTTCCCTGTGAAATATCTCAATTTCTATCAATGTGTGGCTCAAATATCTTTATTTTGCCGTACCAGTGTATACTCAGAATTGAAAGAAGAACCCTATAAAGACGTGTCCCTGTTTATCTTTGTTCAAACTCTTATTCTAGAGATGATCTTTCATATCATCATGGCATGTTCTACTTTGTAAAATTATGTGCTTTCTTTATGACTATTCCCCATTCCTTAATTTCAACTTACAAAGGCTATCACAGGTTGAACTGTAATAATGAACTTTGTAGCCTAGCCTCTGTCTCCACGTGGCTTAGGATAACATGGGCCTTGTGTGGGATTGCTATGTTAACACTGTATATTATGGTGATTTTAGAAACACGTGAATTTATGGGCCTTCTTTGGTTCCTAAACTACATAGTTCAAGGATATGAATAATCCCTTAGTACTGATCATAATTCATCAGCCCATATTGAGTGTTAGAAACTATCTGCTATCTCCCCAGTTTACAGACCAAACCATATTGGCCTAAGGATAAACTTCAGACTCTTGAGAGCTCTACCTAGCTTAACCCCTGACGTCAAGTGATCCCTTTTAAACTTTTAGCAAATTGTAGGCTTTAACTGATTTACGAACACAAAATGTTTATTAGAGAGGGATGTTTTAAAATGAAGTTCATAGTTATGGAAGCACAGGGTATGAGTGTCTGGCTGCTTTATTAAGACTCTTCCATTTTTGTGACTCTCATGGGTAGGGTGACCAAGCTGCCTGGTTTCTCTGTGTTTATTTTCCAGGTATAATTAAATGTGTTTTTGGACAACAAAGTCCACTGTAACCTTAAGTCTAGGAAAAATTCTTCCCACCCTAGGAAGAATTAGCAGAAGAATTGATACTTTGCCTCAGGCTGTTTGAATGGGAGCAGTAAGTTATGGAAATCAGCATTGGCAGCTTCAATAACTTTCAGCTGGTTGATGTTACACAAACCTTTGGCTAAAGGCCTAAAATCTTTCTGAATTCCAAGTGTGACCACTTGTTATAAGTGTTACCATTGTCTTTACGTTTTTTCCTAGTGGATGAGTTTCTCTGTTCCAGCAGACCAGTAAGAGTGACAATATTCAAATCTAGAGTTTTGTCTTCTCTGTCTCTACACTAAATGCATGTATTGTGAAGAAATGCCCCTAAAACAGAGTCTTAATTTACGTTGTTGTAACAACAACAACAAAAAAATAGAATGGGTGGCTTAATGGAAGTTTGTTTTTCAGGATTCTGGGTATTGGGAAGTTCCAAATCAAGGAGCTGACATATCCAGTGTCTGATAAGAGCCCTCTTTTTAGAATTTCAGGGCTGTCTCCTCACTATGTCCTCCTCTGTTGGAGGACAGAGAAAGAGAGGGCGGGGGAGAGAATGCAGCCATTCATGGTTTTTATAAGGGCATTAATACCACTTGTGAAGGTTCTAACCTTATGACATATTCACCCCCCAAAAGGCCTCTTCCTAGTATATTACCATAGGGATTTTAGCATGTGAAGGTTAGGAAGATACAAATATTCTCTCCATAGCAAATAGTGTCTCCTAAGGTCCAGTCATAGGATGCAGTGTTTTTCTGCTAAACTCTTTGTTTATGTTTGTCTCCTCTGAAGGTCATGATGAAGTCCGATTTTTTATATAATGGTGCTGAGAGGTGGTGGGGCAATAGCAGAGTGGTTAGGTCAGTGAAGAAGAGGAAATCCCTTCTCCCTGACCTGGTTTATTTGCTGGAGAGGATTGATTTATGAAGCAAGGCTGCCTCGTGGATGTTTGTCTTCTCCACATGTCGCCACTTGTCCTTCCTTTTTTCTAGAGTGCCATGGCACAGCACAAGGCCCTCACTGAAAGCTAAGGAGATGTTAGTGCCATCTTGAGCTGAAATAAGTTTCTTTCCTTTATGAATTGCCTACTCTCAAGTGTTCCATTATAGCAGCAGAAAATGGGCTTGGCCAAAGATACCTGGGAAGTGTGTGAATGTGTTGGAAGAAGTGTGTGATGTCAATATGGTAAACAAAAAGCCCATTTTAAGGTATGCCAGGGTTGTAAGACAATGGACAGCCTTTGTCTTTCCTTGAGTTCATTGTCTGTGAAATGAATAACTCCATCTTCTGAAACCTATGGGAAAAAAATGGTTTTCTAAAGTTTCCCTACATGTTGCAGTTGAGTGTCACTCAATTGATTCAGCATTGCTTTTACAGCAAAACATACCAAATTTTTTTTCTTCATATGAAAATTGGGGGCTTGGGTAAATGAATTCAATTTTAACCCTGAGAATAAACTCCTGTAGTAAAGAAGACGTGTGCTGAGTCAGACTTCGTGTGCAACAATGGCCAGTGTGTTCCCAACAGATGGCAGTGTGATGGGGATCCTGACTGTGAAGATGGTTCTGATGAGAGCCCAGAGCAGTGCCGTGAGTGTGACTTGACTTGATCTTTTTCAGGCTGTTCTGTGTCTCTGTTCTAAGTAATGTTTTATTGATTGCTTGTCATGAATCTTTCTTTGCCTGTTTTAAACTTGAGGCCAACTGACTTGAAGGTCAGTCAAGTTGCTCTATCTCCTTTACATAACATTCCCCCTAGTCGAACAAGACTGACATTCTCTTGGGTAGCTTCATCACTGAATACTTAAGACTGAAGCCAGCAGATTCAATTAAGAACTCCTTGACTAGGTGCATAGATTTCAAATGTTTGATAATAACAGAGCAGATGGTCACCTGATCCTGGAAGTTAAGTCAAGATGTGAAGGTTTCCCAAGGGCCACAAATAAGCTGACAAATGCACAGATTTTCAGATTATGAAAAAAATGCTATTGTTAAAAGTAAGATAATTAGTAATTGGATAATTTAGTGGGTTTTTATAGACAAACATATAGCCTAAAGTAGGGGTCACAGAGCTGCAAATTTATATCTCTGTTCATAGGCTGATATACAGGGAAAAGTCATGAGATTATAGAGGATGATGATTTGGGAATCAAACAAATTGGAATCATTTGAATGTTAAGATGGGGAAAAGTTTGAGGATCTATCACGGTAGAGATCTGACTCAGAAAAACAGGACTGACATGAACCAAATTTAGGTCTAGGATACGATTACAAAAGATAACCAAACGGAAACTTTTATTTTCTAGGAAAGAAGTGAAGAGAATAATTATAGCAGTGAGTTAGAGCCCCAAGCGTTCTAGACAGGAATTATAAAGATTTAGCCCCATGTGTTAGTGGATGATGACCTGGAAGCCAAGGATGAGGGCATGTTCCAGTTTTGTAAGATGTAAATCTAAAGGAAGTTATGAAGGAGGCCTAGAAAGGAATTTGCTCCACAGAAGGGTTCAGGCCCACCTGACTTCAAGGCACCCGGGATTGGGTGACAGTATCTGGTGTGCCCACTGATAGCCGCACATAAGTGATGGGCTAGGAGCAGGCTAGCCAATCAACTTAACTGTACCAAGTAAAACAAAAGCCAGAATTGAACACTGTGGAATCTTGAAGGAGTGACATGGTCAAAGTTCTCAAGTGCATTGCCAGGTGGCCTTAGTTGGCATGGCTTCTAAGGATGAAGCTGGCGAAGGATCTGGCTTCCACTAGTCAGTGTGCCCCGTGTATCCGACCACTGAGTCCCAGGTGTTGCACTTCCAGGCAGCACGGGAGCAGCAGCTTTGCACTGACCAGTTTGGAGGCTCTTTTGAGACTGTATGTCATCAACAGATATGAGAACATGCCGCATAAATGAAATGAGCTGTGGCGCCCATTCTACTCAGTGTATCCCAGTGTCCTGGAGATGTGATGGTGAAAATGATTGTGACAATGGAGAAGATGAAGAAAACTGTGGTAAGAAGATCAGTGTGGAGTGGCATATCCCAGAGACCCTTTTCCTCAAAGAAGGGTGGGCAAGGGATGCTAACTTAAGCATGAAGACACAGTTGCCTGAGTCACTTGTCAATGACTTCGCTGTCTGCTCAATACCTGTCCTTCCTAACCACACTAAAACTTCGAAAGACCTTTTCATGGCAATTGGCCATTGTCTGGTGTTTCTTTTAGTCAGACAGAAATAAGCATAAAAGTCATTTGGGTACTTTCATTTAGCATAGTACACTTAGCATAGCTCAGTAAGGCAAGAGCTGTGTAGGCTTGTCTCATAATTCACGAGCCTTCCTTAATTTGGCTCAATAAAACTAGAAGGTGATAGAGCCAGTAAACACATCCATAGGTTTAGTTGAAAGTAACTTCTTGGAATAAGTCACTTGAGTATAATATAAGCATTTTGTCCAGCTAGAGTCTACTGTAACCTTTCTAAACGTGGAACTGGCACAGAAGCATGACCTAACATGTTGCTAGCAAATGCGTAAAGAGAACTCTACGCAACCTTCCTCTCCCATTACAATTTCTGTCTCTCAATGCTCACTCTGGCTCCTATTTTTTCATGTTTATGTTCCGGGAAAACCTATAATAAAATGCTTCATGTTAAAGGTGAGGCCCTGAGAAAATCTGTAGGCTGAACAAACATTGCTTTAAGTGTTCTTTCAAGTTACCGCCCCTTCTAAGGGCTTCTAAAACAAGCAGCTCATAAATATAATGAGCCTGACCTCAGGCTGCAGTAGTGTGCAAGGGAGTTCAGGGCCCTTGCAAGTGAAACGCCACTGGTCTGGCATGTACAGGTTGCCTCCTAATGTCAACAACACTGCACCTAGTCCAATGAGTTTCCATGTTCAGTCATAGAACTGAGCTTTATGCATTGTCATGGTGAGCCCGGGAGCTGCCATGCAGTTCCCTTACAAATCTACACTTTGCTTCCCAAGAGAGTCGTGGTCTCCATTCCAATTGCTGCCAAATTGTGACCTTAATATGTTTGTCAGGAATTTAAGTCAAAATAAACTGGCTATATGACTACCCTGTCATCCATACTATATATGGTTACTAGATTGTGATTCTAACTCTAGCAATAACTTTAATAAAAAACTGAAAATGATTAAGACATTATTCCTAATGTTTGTTATGAAGGGCCAAAAAGGACTGAACCATGCAGAGTGTGGCATGTGGTTTCCTGCTTTTTGGTGATGGCGTCTCCCTATCCACTGCAGTACCTTGCCTATTCTAATGCCTATTCTTAGCTAGTGATGCAATCTGGCCTGACATGCAGTAGGTTGATTCAGGTATAATTCTGTCTCTGCCTTCCAAAACAAAATCCTTGGTACCAGCTTAAGCTGTGGATTACTGTCCCTTTAAGTGTCAGTTGCGGCTCTCATATCAAATTAGTTTCTAGCCTTCAACTGTTTTCTTGACCCTTTGTTTCTGCTCTTATTCATAGTATGGCTTCATATTTTTTATACTGTGAGACTGTTTTGTCATATTTAAGAAACTTGTTCTTGATATAATTGCACTATGGCTTTTAAGTTAGGAAGCAAAAATTAAAGGTTAAAGATCATTGTATTTGATTTGGGGACCACAGTTTGTTAAAAAAAAATGCTAATGCATTTTCAATGGGGCATCTTCTCTCTAACAGGCAACATAACATGTAGTGCTGATGAGTTCACTTGCTCCAATGGCCGCTGCATCTCTAGGAACTTTGTGTGCAATGGCCAGAATGACTGTAATGATGGCAGTGATGAGCAGGACTGTGCCCCACCAACCTGCAGTGCCCATGAGTTCCAGTGCAGCACATCCTCCTGCATCCCCATCAGCTGGGTATGTGATGACGATGCAGACTGCTCTGACCAGTCAGATGAGTCCCTTGAACAGTGTGGCCGCCAACCAGTGATACACACCAAGTGCCCAGCCAGCGAGATCCAGTGTGGTTCTGGGGAATGCATTCATAAAAAGTGGCGATGTGATGGGGACCCTGACTGCAAGGACGGTAGCGATGAGGTCAACTGCCGTAAGTAACTTTCCAGTTCTCATCCATGTATCATTTGGGAACCATTTGACTGGCCTCATTCAATCATGTTACCTCCTTTTGTAGCTTCTAGAACCTGCAGACCTGACCAGTTTGAATGTGAGGATGGCAGCTGCATCCATGGCAGCAGACAGTGCAATGGCATCCGAGACTGTGTTGACGGCTCCGACGAAGTCAACTGCAAAAACGGTGAGTGTCTCTCCACAGCGGTTAGGACACTGGTTGCTCTGATCAGACCAGCAATGGAATCTTTCTTCTGTGTTTCATCTTATAGTCAATCAGTGCTTGGGCCCCGGAAAGTTCAAGTGCAGAAGTGGGGAATGCATAGATATCAGCAAAGTGTGTGACCAGGAGCAGGACTGCAGAGACTGGAGTGATGAGCCCCTGAAAGAATGCCGTAAGTGAGGGGCTTGTCTGAGGCCAGACTGGGACATGATGGGTTTCAGCATCCCACCATAGCTAAGCTATTTGCACCTTGTTTAATGCCCCATTGAACTCAGAATGAACTCAAATATCATTGTTAAGCCTGAAAATAAATTTTATGAATTAAAATTCTAGCCAGAGACAAACTAGTTCATGGTTTAGGAATGCCTTAAGATAACTGATAACAATAGAGAAATGAGTTAAAACTTGCCATCCACCCTGAGATTCAAATCTACAGAACAAATAATCAAGTCTTAGAAAAACCATGCATTTGACTAAGCCAAGTAACCATCACAAATAGTCTGGATTTTAAATGTGATTAAGACAAATATCAATTATCTGTCATACTCATGAATTCAGTGAGTTACAAAAGAAGACATGAAGTTGGGAGAGGGCCCTATGTATGGATCTGCAGAGAGCTGGCTGGGGGCTGGGGAGTGGGTGTGATCAAAATACATTAGGGACATGTGTGAAATTCTTAAAGAGTAAAATTTAAAGATTATATTAGAAACAAAGAATAAGCTGTCAGGTGACTGTTACATTTTTATTCCAGATATCAATGAATGCTTGGTAAACAACGGTGGCTGTTCCCACATCTGCAAAGACCTAGTTATAGGCTATGAATGTGACTGTGCAGCTGGGTTTGAACTGATAGATAGGAAAACCTGTGGAGGTGAGCTGAAGCGAAGAGCTTAGCCCCTGGGGGATGGGCAAGGGCAAGGAGACACCTCATAAGGTAGAGGTATAGCAAGACTAATTCTAATTTCCCTCCTAGATATTGATGAATGCCAAAACCCAGGAATCTGCAGTCAAATTTGTATCAACTTAAAAGGCGGTTACAAGTGTGAATGTAGTCGTGGCTATCAAATGGATCTTGCCACTGGCGTGTGCAAGGCAGTAGGTAAATGGACTTGGGCTGGTGTTGCTCTGGTACCTTTGTGAGTAAGTGCTTATAAAAGGTACAGCTGGTGCCTGAAACAGTCAACCTAAGTATAAATTTAAGTCACACTCTGGAACAATGCTACTAAACTCCTAGTTCAGCAGGATAGGTTAAAGCAGACCATCTTCCCACGCATCTGCCTCGGTCCTTCCTTTTACTTATAATACCATGAATGCTGACCATTTGCTTCCTTTCTGCTCCTAAAACTGAGAACAATTAAAATAAATGACTTGTTTATTAGCCACCCTACTGTTGAATGCTGTAACTCCCAGACTGCCTTCCTAATCAGGGTGGACATACTTACAGGTCCCAGGGGCTAGAACTCCAGGCCAGGTACTACTGAGGTATTCAGCAATATCTTTATAAGCGCTCCTCTTTGGAGAGAAGGTGACTTAGAAAGACCTTGCCTTATAACAAAACTAAATCAACTTGGTTCATGCCTTGTAGGCAAAGAGCCAAGTCTGATCTTCACTAATCGAAGAGACATCAGGAAGATTGGCCTAGAGAGGAAAGAATATATCCAACTTGTTGAACAACTAAGAAACACGGTGGCTCTTGATGCTGACATTGCAGCTCAGAAGCTATTTTGGGCTGATCTAAGCCAAAAGGCCATCTTCAGGTAACTTTCAGTTCCACTCCTGATGTCTGCACATGTCACTGTCACTGGGCCCATGGGAAGGACTGGAGGGTGCTTTTCTTGGTCTCCAGCTCTAATCTAGTTCATTGGGAGGATTAAGTCCAGCATTAGGTCTTTAGCTATTAAATTACCAACAACTGCTCATTAGGAACTAGCCTTGTCCATGAAGTAAAAGGTAACTATGGCTGCAAGACGACATCTTAATTCACCATAATGTCTCCCCGTCTTCTAGAGTTAAGTGTGAACTGTTAGTGAATAGAGATGGTAGTAACATCCTTTTCTTAGTGGAAACTATAGGCCCCGGATGATGGCTTCTGAAGCAAATGTTTCACTTAGAATTTTGTTGGATTTGTATATAGGACCCATCTCCACAGCTAGATAAACTAGAGTATTGCAGTTTTGCATTCCTAAGCAACATGGCTGAATAATTTGAGTAGTGACCTATGTTCTCAGAATTCTTTCTGAGTAAAGTCCTTGACCATTTTATAAGCAGAAAGTCCATTCTCCAGGCTCCATTGGTGACAACTCTTAAATTTCTTGTGACCTATTCTGTTTCAGTGCCTCAATTGATGACAAGGTTGGTAGACATTTTAAAATGATCGACAATGTCTATAATCCTGCAGCCATTGCTGTTGATTGGGTGTACAAGACCATCTACTGGACTGATGCGGCTTCTAAGACTATTTCAGTAGCTACCCTAGATGGAACCAAGAGGAAGTTCCTGTTTAATTCTGACTTGCGAGAGCCTGCCTCCATAGCCGTGGACCCGTTGTCTGGGTTTGTATTCTGTTTTCCATCACAGCCTCGTGGGTGCTATTTGCCTGGACCAGGGGCTTCTCTTGTGCATACCAAGAGTTGTCAGCAACAGAATTATCCAGTTCAAGATGTCAGTGACTGCTCATGGCCCAGCCTCTCCCACTTTTCCTCCTCCCCCTCCTGCTAGTTCCTTTTCTTCCCCAATCTCATGTCACATTTATATAATTATGCGTATTATTTTATGTGTTCATATAGGATATACACATGAGAGATCGGATGTGGTATTTGTCTTTGGGAGGCCTTACTGATGACCTCCTGTTGCATCTATTTTTCTGAAAAATGACATCATTTCCTTCTTCTTTATGGCTAGATAAAACTCCATTGTGTACATGATAAACTTCAGTGAAAATGTCTTTTTGAAACCAATCACTATGTACAATAAATACACGCTAGTAAAAGAAAAAGATGTGAGCAGCCAGTGTGGGGCAAACCCCTGTGTGTGCTGGGTTCTCCCTGCCTCACTCCTGCTTGTCCAACAGCTTACAAACCTCATCAAAACAATGCTTTGGATTTCATGTATTATATACACCCAAAGCTCTGAATCCTTTGCCCACCCAGCTCCTACACAAGTGATTTTTGTTTGTTTTTTGTTTTTTTATTTTTTTTTTGCCTGGACAGTTTGCTTGGTTAGACCTTTGTAGAAACACTTTTCTGAGGGGATTTCCCTACATTGTCACCAAGTAACATAGGTAGGCAGCTTAGCACTGTTGGCTCCTTTGAAGTATTGTTAGAACAAAATCTTCCAGCTACTGCTATAAAACTTAAAATGCTTCCTTCACTCCCCTGAAAGGATTTACCTTTGAAAAAGAAATGTGGGCTGGAGAGAAGGCTCAGTGGTTAAGAGCACAGAACTGGCTAGTCTTACAGAAGAACCAGGTGTGAATCCCAACACCTACATGGCAGCTAACAACCGTCTATAACTCTAGTTCCAGGGGATCCAATACTCTGTCTGTCCTCCGTGGGCACTGCATGACATGGATGCTCTTATACACTCATATCCATAAAATAAAAACAAATCAAAAAATTTTAAATCAAAATAAATTTTTAAATTTTTTCAAAAACTAAAAGGAAATGTAGAACTGTGTGATATTAAATATCAGACTGACACAGAATAATAATGAGCTGGGAAATTTTTTTTTCTGTAGTTCCAAAGCGTGAACTCAGAGAGGGCTTTACTCATAGTAGGCCAAGAGCTCTACCACAGCTGTACCCCCAGACCTTGTAAATGCATAAATTTCATATGCCCAAAACATTATTCGAGCCTGACGTGTTACTGTTTATCTCAAGAGCCTCGATCTGAAGAGTTTTCTGTTTACTTTTTAAGCTTTTATTTAAAACTACAACTTTATTTCTTCTAAACCACTAAGGCATATTTCTGATTTAATTCTTTCCAGCTTCGTTTACTGGTCAGATTGGGGTGAACCAGCTAAAATAGAAAAAGCAGGGATGAATGGATTTGATAGACGTCCACTGGTGACCACGGACATCCAGTGGCCTAATGGAATCACCCTTGGTATGTATGTTCTTCCTTCTTGTTCTCCAATTCTGCCGTCTTCATGCTGTTTCCACAGACGGCCACTGTAAATTTGAGATGGCTTTCCTGGTTTCTTCTATAGCAGAAACTTTGGGTGAGAGTGGCTGAACAACGTGATGAACTTAACAAATCCTAGGTGCTGGAATGATGAGCTTGTCATCTGCTTGGTCTAATGTGTAACACACACTCAGTGACTCTTGGGTGTTTGGGATTCTTATAAGGAATACTCAGGCCCAGGTGCTTTAGCATTTCCTGAATGGTGGCTTGCAGCTGTTTCCCTCTGGCTTCTCTGCGGAGAACTGCAAAATTCAAGCCTCTTTTAACACTTTCTATAATGTATCTTATACGTTATATACAAAATCAATGTCTTTTGGGAATTGATATATAATGTATCATGTATGTTATATACCAAATCAATGCCTTTGGGGAATTTTAGGTACCCCCATTAGTTCCCCAAAGTGAATGCAGATGCAGATTCTATATGTTGCTTCACAAGTTTTTTGTTGGTTTGTTGGTTGATTTTTATGTGTATGAGTGTATTGCCTGCATGTATGTGAGTGTACTATGACATGCAAGGCCGTGGAGGTCAGAAAAAGGCATCAGATTCCCTGCAACTGGAGTTAAGGACGGTTCATAGCTGCCATGTGGATGCTGGGAATCGAACCTGAGTCCTCCGCAAGAGCAGTCAGTGCTCTTAACCACTGAGTCATCTCTCCAGCCCTTCCACAAGTTTTATGGAGACCCCATTAAGAACCCCTGATGGAGGGGCTGGAGAGATGAGTCATTGGTTAGAAGCACTGCTTGCTCTTCAGGAAGACCCAGGTTTGGTTCTCAGCACCCACATGGCAGCTAACACCTGCCCTTAATGCCAGTTCCAGGGGATCTGATACCCTCTTCTGGCCTCCATGTGCATTACATGCACATGGTGCAGTTATATACGTGCAGGCAAAAACCATTTTTATACATAAAATAAAAATAAATACAGACTTTTAAAAAGAACCCAGGAACGAACCCATATAAACACGACTAACTTCTTTTATTTAACAAAACAAAAGAAACAAACAAACAAACAAACAAAAAACCCTGTTAAACCATGAAATAGAATATTTTCAGTGGAAGCCAGAGCAGCAACGGCTCATACAATGTCAATCTTTTCCTGCGTAGACCTTATCAAAAGCCGCCTCTACTGGCTGGATTCCAAGCTGCACATGCTGTCTAGTGTGGACTTAAATGGCCAAGATCGTAGGATAGTGCTAAAGTCTCTGGAGTTCCTGGCTCATCCTCTTGCACTCACAATATTTGAGGTAAGACATGTGCCTCGTATCTAAGTGAATGCCTTGGGAACAAGCATGTGGGAAGAGAAAGGAGCAGTGGACAGCCGAAAACTGTTTTTGCTTAAATCCTGGTACACCTTGACTCTATGTACTCCATGTGCTTCTCCAACGCTTTACTTCCAGTGTCCCAGAGAATCATTGAGTAACCTTAGTCCATTAAATGGCCAGTAAATCTGGATAACCTTGTGTTTTAATATGTGATAATCCTGAGTATACATGCTAATTATACGGACTCTGTTTTAGGATCGTGTCTACTGGATAGATGGGGAAAATGAAGCAGTGTATGGTGCGAATAAGTTCACTGGGTCAGAGCTGGCTACTCTAGTCAACAACCTCAATGATGCCCAAGACATCATTATCTACCATGAACTCGTTCAGCCAGCAGGTAATGTAAAGAACAGTCCTTAATGCCCTTTAAGGAGTAATGTGATCCAGAGAGTGCCTCCTACTGGGAGTCAATAGCTCGTCAGCAGCTCAACTTTCTTTTGAATGGAACTTTTGTTCTTGAACCCTTGGCCAAACTTCACAGTTAATGTGTGGTATCTCATTTCTGCCACCTTAAGAGAAATAGCTTCTGAGTCAGCCCTTGGCTTTTTCCAACCCTCAGTGACAGAGCTTTCTTTCTGTTTCTTCTGTATCCTTTTGCTAGGTCTGTTCCACCAGCTTCCACAGTAACCTTTGGGTCAAAGATGTCCCCTATGATTAGTTTTCTATGTTTGCTGTAGCAGAGTACTATAAATTGGGTGCTTTTGGCTTTATCTTGACTTCCTCTTACAAAGTAAATGGGAACTCAGCCACAGGGAGGTAGGACAGAAATAACAGAAATCTCCCAATTGTGGAAACTAAAAGTCCAAAGTCAAGGTGTTGGTAAGTTGGTTCGTTTTTGAGTACTTGAAAGAAGGCTATGTCCCTGGCCTCTGTCCTTGGCTTGAAGAGGGCCATCTCTAGTGAATATATCTATTCACATCTTCAACACATGCTTGTGCTCAAATTTCCTCTTCTAGGAACACCTGATATTTGGGGTTAAGACCTACCCTAATGATCTCATTTAATTGATTACCTCTGTCAATCCCCTGTCTGTAAATAAGGCCACATTCTAAGATACTGTAATCAGAACTTCAACACACAAATTTTATGGGGGGACAGAATTTACTCTGTATACCTTCTCTCCCCCATGACACATCTTATACAGGACTTTGTAAATCCTTAAACATATCTGGTTATATTTTCTCCCACCCTGAATGCCAGCGGATCTATCTAATGAGATCCTCACCTCCCTGTGGCTGAGTTCCCTTCTACTTTGTAGGAACAAGTCAAAACAAAGCCAGGAGAATGTGACTTGTCTCCTTCTGGGCCTTCACTCTAAGACTTGAACAATCAGTGCATGCTTCCAGTACCTTGACACCTGCTCTTCATCAATGTTAGTCTCGCTTGAAGATTCGATAGAGTAGACATGTTCAGGCTCCATGGAGACCAAAAAAAAAAAAAAAAGGTTTATATATCAGAGACACTGCAATGCTTATTTTAAAGGACAATTTTCTTTCTGACTAGGTAAAAATTGGTGTGAAGAAGATATGGAGAATGGAGGATGTGCATACCTCTGCCTGCCAGCACCACAGGTTAATGATCACTCTCCAAAATACACCTGTTCCTGTCCCAATGGATACAATCTAGAGGAAAATGGGCGAGAGTGTCAAAGTAAGGCTTTCGGCATTTCAACTACAAGCATGACATACTACAGGGAATATAAGAGACCAGCTACAAAAACTTGCTGGGGTTTTAGAAATTTTATTGTAGCTAACTCTTGAAATTGATTTCAGAACATTGGGTGCTACTGTTGCATGGCAGGCGTTCACATCAATACTTGAGAGCTGGCTTGTAACCCATTTAAAATTAGATGAGTTTATAGGTGACTAAAGTGTCAATGCACCAAATAGTAATTTCTACCCACTGCCCTATAACAACACTGAGCCAGCCAGTTTGCAGGTAATTAAACAGTCAATGTTTCCTTCCATAGTGGTAGACTGAATACGCTGAAGATGTTTAAGGAAGGAGGCTGTGGTTATAGGACACTTACTGGCCTCAGTGGGTGACACTAGTTTAAACTCAGACTTAACTGACTTTTAAAATCTTCTGTTCCTAGCTTTTGATTAAGCAGAAAACTGAGCTTATCCATTGTGTGCAAGGAGCTCACACAGTAAGGTTTTCATTAGCTTAATGGGTCATAACAAGCACTTGCTTCGTTTACTGAGAAAGTAGTTGCAAGACAACTTAACCTGGTGTGCCTGGTATGCCAAGTTGTCTTGAGAACATCTGTCCTAAGTTTCAGGAGCCTGGGACGCTGCTGAGGGGGATTATATGTGTGGATGTGCATCTTTCTGAGTTACCAAGGACACTGCTGACTGCTCTGCCCAAAGATCACATACTTCTGTTTCTGCATGAAGCCTGCTATTTCAGACATATCCACTTTGTGACTTACTTTGCAGTGGGTTGTCTCTTTCACCTGGTGTTAAAATAGCCATTCGCATGGCTTGTCTGGACTACACAGCTGGCCGCTCGGGAACCTTGGACTTAACCAGGTTCTTGGTTTTTATGATCCAGGTACTACAACTACTGTGGCTTACAGTGAGACAAAAGATACCAGCACAACAGAAATTCTACCAACTAGTGGACTGGTTCCTGGAGGTATTGGGTCCAGTACTGCAAACTGTTAATCTCAACTAACAGCCACATTCTTTGTAGCTTAAATAATTAATGCAGCCTTTAACTACTAGTTCTGCCCCAATTGGCTACTTGTGCTTAAACTCCAAAGATTTAGAACCTGCATATCCTGGATTTCCATGACATATTTAAGGTTTCTCTTATACAACTGTTATCAAAATGGCCATGTAATGCAAATAATTTGAAGCCAGAGTTGTTCTGGTATATAATTTTAGCGAATGTTGAAGATTAATATTATGTATAAAAGTGTGAGACTCTCTGCCTGATGGGTAAATTTCTAAATCTGAAATCAGATCCTTACAGAGTGATTCCTTTCATGTTCTTGTAGGGATCAATGTGACCACAGCAGTGTCAGAGGTCAGTGTTCCCCCAAAAGGGACTTCAGCTGCCTGGGCAATCCTTCCTCTCTGTAAGTAAATGGTGACATTTCTAGTAAATGGTGACACTTCTAGTCCATTGCCAGTTGCCTTCTTGTGACCTGTTATGCTGTCATAGCACATGTAACACTGAATTGCACTCTCCCTCATTCACCTAATATACCCAAAGTCAAACCTTCTCTTCAGTGGTATCCTTCCTATGGTAATGGGCACTAGTGAATATCATAAATTACCTGAAAGGTGCTTATCGTGTTTTATGTTGGACTTGTTAGCTTTGCTTACCCCCACTTAGAGGAAGTCCCTTTAACAAGAGTTTTGCTCTATTCCCCTTTGAAATGTATATAATGATTCACACAGAGAAGAAGTATAAATGCTCAAAAAGCTTTCTGGAGTGTTTGTTTTGTTTTTTACCTAGATTACTGGTCTACCTAACACACCAGGACCCCTTGAATAGCTCTCTAGAAGCTTCTGTTGGCCTAGGGGGTGAGGCCTGGGACTCTACACTTGCCTAGATGTATAAAGCTCCAAAGCTTTCTATATTTGTTTGTTTGTTTGTTTGTTCATTTGTTTGAAACAGGGTCTCCCTGTAGTCCCAGCTGGCCTGGAATTTGCTATGTAGATCAGGCTGACCTGAGCTCACAGAGATCCACCTGGCTCTGCCTCCCAAGTGCTGGGATTAAAGGAGTGTGCCACTACACCCAGCAAGCCATAGGATTTATAGAGGGTGAATTAAAAGTAGTTAAGGATTTTCAAATTCAAAGAAAAGGATCTAAAAACCATTCTCAGATATGTGAATTGGAGGGTGCTTTGATGGCTCTCTTCACCTAGATTACTGGTCTACCTAACACACCAGGACCCCTTGAATAGCTCTCTAGAAGCTTCTGTAATTTTCACGCAATAGGCCTAAGGGTAAGGCCTGGGACTCTACATAGGCCTAGATGTGTAAAGCTCCAGTACAAAGATCAACACAGCCACTGGGCTGAACTCATTGCAAGCTTGTGACTCCTTGTATTCCAACCTCAAGTTATACAAGCTCCCTAAAACATGGAACTTTTACTAATGTAAATTACCATGGATCCCTGAGCATTACCACCTTTTATGTTCTGAAACTAGAGTTCACTTAGTCACCTCTGACTTTTCAGTGCTATTAGTGATGGCAACAGTAGGTGGATACTTGACGTGGAGGAATTGGCAGCACAAGAACATGAAAAGCATGAATTTTGACAATCCTGTGTACTTGAAGACCACTGAAGAGGACCTCTCAATAGACATTGGTAGACACAGTGCCTCTGTCGGACACACATATCCAGCAGTAAGTCACATTCTTTTTCTTCTCTTTCTCTCTACCAACTAGGTATAGCTTAAGTCTTCTGGTCTGGGGAATACATTGCGGGTAGGAGAAGAGGGTAGATTTTGGAGATTTTGCATATACATAAAATCTGAACACAAAATCCATTTGTTTCATGTATTCTTGTATACATAGTCTAAAGGTGACTTTATACAATATTTTAATGCTTGTTCATTTTGACTGCAACCTGTAATATAAGGTCATGGTTAGAATTTCCTATTTAATGTCATGATAGCTCTTAGAGAATTTCAGATGCTGAAACACTTTGGGTTCCAGAGTTTTGGATTAGGGGCATGAATATAACTTGTGTATCATCTGACTTACAACTATTTGGGTCTTTGAATGACCAACTCAAAAGCAAAGTCCATTTTAGAGAGTTGACATCAATGACTGAATGGTCACCAAGCTCACCTATCCTTTTTCTTGTCTGCAGATATCAGTTGTAAGCACAGATGATGATCTAGCTTGACTCCTGAGGCAAGTTTCGACCTATCAGGTCTAAGCCAATAATACTGACTCCGGAATGGTAACCAAGCCAGCGCTGAAGTCTCTATCTTCCTCCATCTGGAAGAACATCAAGATATCTTTGCGTGGATCAAGCTTGTGTACTTGACCATTTTTATATTACTTTTGTAAATATTCTTGTCCAATTTTACTTCAGCCTTGGATGTGGTTACCAAGTGTCTGTAACCCTTGAATTCTAGACAGTATTGCCATCTCTGGCCAAATATGCACTTTCCCTAGAAAGCCATATTCCAGCAATGAACCTTGTGCTATAGTGAATCCTACCTGTACATATACTGTATAGGCCACCTGTAAATATCCCAGAGAACAATCACTATTCTTAAGCACTTTGAAAATATTTCTATGTAAATTATTGTAAACTTTTTCAATGGTTGGGACAATGGCAATAGGATAAAACGGGTTACTAAGATGAAATTGCCAAAAAAATTTGTAAACTAATTTTGTACGTATGAATGAAATCTTTGGCCTCAATGGAGGTTTGCAAAGACTGAATGTTCAAACTACTGTACATTTTTTTCAAGTGCTAAAAAATTAAACCAAGCAGCTTAACCATGGTTTTGCCTATTCCTCTAAGATGAACCGCAGTGAACAGCTTGTGTAGCACCTAATGTTATAGACATCTGAGCTACAGCTCTTGATGTTGTATAATTAAGTCCAGAATTGGGCTACTGTCTCTTGCAATCAAGTACTAAAGAATGAGGAACCAGTTAGCATTTGTTCCCCAAGTCTATCTTTCATCCTTCTTCGTTTCTATTCTTCCTTCCTTCCTTCCTTCCTTCCTTCCTTCCTTCCTTCCTTCCTTCCTTCCTTCTCCTCCTTCTTTTCTTCTTTGACTGACCTCGAGCTTGCTCTGCTCCTGCCTCAGCCTCCCAACAGCTGGGATTACCTGTTTGTACCACCACACCCATCCAAATATGTCTTACTTTCTAAAGGAAGCTATCATTGTCTCTGCCCAGAATTCCTTTTGCTCACAGAAGAGTTCATTTTCTTGGTTGTTTTGTGATGATCTAACACATGCTAAGATGCCTACGTGTTCTCATGCCTTATTGTCCATGTTCTGTCATTATATGTAGGCCAATGGCAAGTGCCTTCTAAGGCAGGGAAAGGCCTTTCTTCTTATAAATGACTGGCCTGTCATACCATGAAGATGATTAGGAAAGATAATAAGCAGCTCAGGATGATTAGGAAAGATAACAAGCAGCTCAGGATGATTAGGAAAGATAACAAGCAGCTCAGAATGTCCCAGGAACAGTAGCCTCTGCTGCTAGGAACTAGACAGCAGTACAAATTTGTAGGCTCTACCCTAGAACTACTTAATCAGAAATCCTGGTAACAGGGTCCAGAAAACAAAGTTTTCACAAACCCTTCAGGTATATGTACCTTAAAGTTTGAAAAGCACTGTTCTAATGTGATTTCATGGAGAATATAATTGTAATGTCTTCAGAATTGCCAGCCTGGTAGCACAGGACATATTCCTTCTAGGAGAAATTTCTGGAGTTATGAGCATGAACAGATAAGGAGTTTGAGGAGAAGAAAAATGGTACTGTGGCAAGGGGAGAATTCTGTGAGTTTCTCATGGAGTCGGCCACCACCTCTTTACTGAGAAGTTTCAAGATACTTGGAAGCAAAAGAAGATGCAAGGCTTAAAGCACAAACAAGATGCTCTAAATCCTGCAGTTGACTGCAGAAGATGTGGTTCCTCTGTGATGGAATGACTGACCTAGCAGCAAAAGGATGAACAGAGATTCTTCAACTAGCTGAATGGATTAGTGATGATTCATTTCCCTTGAACACAGAACATAAGGTACTGAACATCTGTTTTGGTTTGGGCAAAGAGATCAATAATCCCAGATGATGGGGAAGTTGATTCAGTCATCTCATGGACATGCTGTTGTGATGAGAAGAAGGGCAGGCTTCGACTTATTTTGTAGGAGGTAGAAGATCAAGCATGCAAAGGGAAAACGCTGAGGTCATAAGGTTAGGGCTGTCTACTGTACACCTGTTTCCTATTCTACAAATGGTCACAGTAATAGCAGTGGACATATTGAATGTGGCTGCAGACAAGGAGTGGCTGAAAAGCCCATTTGGTATGCAGGTTGGTATTCATCATACCAAAACTCTGAAAGGCACTGGTTGGAAAAGGCCAAGGCTTTGACCTTCATACATTACAGAAACCACTGATTTATTCCCTTGATTGGCATAGTGCCAACCTCCTTTTTAGAAGTTTGAAAATATCAGTACCTTCCCTTGTTATAACATACAGCATTAATCAACTTCAAGGCTCAAAGTCATAGTTTCTGCAAATAAAAAAGAGCATTATTCTCTATCAGGGTCTTTAGTATTTTGATGCCTATCATGATCTTTTGGGTTCTGGGTATGAATATCCAATTCTAAAAGAGTCAGGGGCATCTAATTTTTAACTCTATCTCCTCTGTAAAATTGCAATATAGATAGAACTTTCTGTAACTTAAGAGGCACAAAGTCATCATAAAAAAATAGAGTGCTGGGGCTGGAGAGATGGCTCAGCGGTTAAGAGCACTGACTGCTCTTGCAGAGGACCTGGGTTCAATTCCCAGCACCCACATGGCGGCTACGAACTGTCCTTAGCTCCAGTTCCAGGGGAATCCGAAGCCCTCTTCTGACCTCTGAGGCATTGCACGACATGGGTGCACTCACATACATGCAGGTAATACACTCATACACATAAAATAAAAATAATAAAATATTTTTTAAAAAATGGAGTGCTATCAGCAGAGTGGTGCATGCCTTTAATCCCAGTACTTGGGAGGTAGAGACAGGTGGATCTTTGTGAGATCCAGGCCAGCCTGGTCTGCCTAGTGAATACCAGGCCCACTGGGGCTCAAAAAAATGAAGTGCTTAATAGTTCTACTGATATAGTAATTCTATGACTAGACTGCTAATTAATTCAGCATACAATAATAGCTCACAAGTAATGAGAACCCTGGCCTTTATCACAACTCAAATAAGATCTTAAAGAATCCCATATGAGATGTGTTGATGTAAGTTGGCGGTATCTCTAGAGTATAATGTAGAAGACAATGCATTATGAGGTAAAGTACAAAACATCAAATTCTTAGACTATTTACAATCAAATGCACCTGACACATGAGCCAGTTGTGAATGAGACCTCCAGAGAATGTTAAGAAAGTCTACAAGGGATTGATGAATCAACAGATTTATGGTCCCTGGTAAAGAAATCCATCCAAGTCTCTGAGTCCGAAATTTTAAGTAACCATTACAAGGTATGTGATACTTGACAAGAAGCAGGTCTCCTTGCACATTCTTATTTCTATCTTATAGTCTTGGCCTCGTTTCTGAGCAGTTGAGTCTTGATGAACAGCAGGGGAAAGTCATTTATTGAGGCTTCAATTTATGCACTTGCCTCTATTCCTTTTACAATTGGAAGTAAGATATCCACTGTCAAAAATGAGAAGGCAGGCTTTAAAAAGCACAACTACTGGTCATTTAAAGGACTGACTTTTCAGTTAAGAGCATGGTAGAAATCTGAGGCTCACCTGAAGTCTAGCTGTTAACTGTTTTTACCCCAAACCCAAAGATTTTAGTGGGGTTTCTCTTGAACATCTAACTGAGGAGATTTCCTAGAATTCCTCCCTACTCAAATCTTTCCTACTGGAAGAGGTTGTTCCTTTAAACCTAAATGAATACTGTTCTGCTTCTTTTCTTTCTTTCTTTCTTTCTTTCTTTTTTTTTTTTTTTTGTGTTTTTTTTGGTCTTTTTGAGACAGGGTCTCCCTGTAGCCCCAGCTGTCCTGGAGCTCACTATGTAGACCAGGCTGGCCTTGAACTCATAGAGATCTGCCTGCCTCTGCCTCCCTGCTTCTTTTAATTGTGGCAAAAACAAAAAACCCACAGACCCTTGTGCTCACTTAGGTTGAAGAACAAAAAAATACTACTCCTGCTCCAGAACTTTGAGCTCTGAAGTTCTATAAGCCAGTATTTTACCTTTTCCTTTGGAAAGACTGAGAATTGAGAGTCTATATTTCAGACATGTTATGGACTCCTAAACTGTGCATGGTCTAGAAATGGAAAAAAATATTTGAAGGTATCTTGTTTTCAAGTAGAAGGGAAATAGATTTGAAGATGAAACTGTTTGGATGTCTGTCTGTTCGTTCACTTGTTTTTCTCACATCCAGCATGGAGGTTTCCAGCTCATAAGAGCTTCATGGGAAGATTAATAACCATGTTTGTATAAACCACGTTCCCGTCTACCTTCACCAATGGAAAACTGAATGTGAGTTGGCAGCGAGTCCCAAATGTGAAGTCTGGGATCATATGCCCCATCGCTCTTTACAGTGTCACCTCAATCTGTTTAGTGTTTCTGAACCTGGTTCATCCAAGAAGCAAGAGTGAGTGGGGCCATGGACTCCAAGTCCTCTGTCTCCCTGAACATGTGTTCATGGACAGTAAGACAGGCTGAGCGTGGGGAAGGTGGCTCTGCAGTTAGCCTGGGACATCTCAAGAATGACTTTCCTCTTCACCGTGTGAAGGCAGAAGGGAGGCCAGTGGTTTTGTCAAGAGCTCTAAGGCAGCGTGTCAACGGCACAGACCTCTGTTGTTTGTGTAATAGCTTGGGCAAGCTACTGAGTAAGCATCTCTGTAAAATGGAGATGATAAAGACTTACTGGGGCAGGGTGATGAACAAGACAATGAACTCTTGGAGCTCAGCACCATGTCTGGCATTTTGTGTATGCTGGTGAGCATTACTACTGAACATCACTGCCAGTGCTGGCCCTCTGTGTGTGATGCTGTACAGTCCCGGACCTGGCAAAGGATTTTAACCACCAAGCACTGCAGGAGCTTCATTCACAGAGTACCATGTGCATTTCACTCTGATCCAATTGTTCCCATCACACCTAAGCCTGAAATGCAGCTAGGATTTCACCTTGTGTGTGTTAGAAGCCTTAAAGGACTATGTGATTTAAACCCTACAGCCATAGCTGGTATGTGTCTGCCTCAGTCTTGACTGTTCCTCCTGACATGGAAACAAGTATTCAGGACCTGCAAAGTCTTGAGGTGGTTACTGAAGCATTTTTACTGGCTCTGCAGTTCTTACCATGTGCTTAATACTGTGCTAAATAAATGCTCTCATGTCTCTTGTTAGATCTTCACAACAACCCCAACAGGCAAGTATTATCTCCATTTTATAGATGAGAAAACTAAGACTCTACACCAGGTAGGACTCCAAACCAATGAGCATATGGTTGTCTTCTCGGGAGAGGATGCTGTCTTGTGCAAAGGTTAAGCTGGATGCCACGTTGTGTGTTTGCTGAGTCTCTGGTAGCATTGCCACATCAGGACAGCACAGGATAGCTCAGTTACCATGCCTTTAGGATGCTAGACTTGATAGAATTATTTTTCTTGTCCATGCAAGTAGAAATAAGGAATTGCAAAGAAAAAGATAAAAGATTTCCTAAAAGAATTTGCAGACAGATAACATCTTTCCAGAGCAGAAGATAGTAGGAGAAAACATGCTACAACACAATATATCCTAATTTCTGAGTCTGTCAT